GCTCTGTCAGGAATACAGAACTCTGTGAGTCCAGACAGCAGCTACCAAGAGCAACAACAAACCCCGTGTAATTTAGGGCACTGTCTGATGTCCAAAGGGAGGAAAACTCTAAACAAGGTATCATTTGCTCAGCGGGACCAGACCTTACAAAAGGATGGGTCTGACCTGTCCCATAAAAAATTGAATCTCTCCCAAAACAGCCATAACAGAAATCATGTGAATGCTCACATGTGGAGAAGGATGTGATGAACGTCACCGGGCAACTTGTGTCTGAACAGGAACCCAAACCTTCACCTAAAACGCAGTAAAATATGACTTGTAATTTATCGATCCCTCTGTTTTAGTGTACCTTTTAGAATCAGCTTGGTACCTGTCCTTACCTAAAATAACATTTATTTGGAGGCCTGATCGCCACTGGAATGTGTGGAAGCCTGCCAGCACTTTCGAGCATGAGGCGGGTTTCCAAAAGTTCATGGAGAATGTGAGTATAAGATATATGGAATTTGTCCCAAACTGTTGACGCACATGCATAAACAGCTGTCTGCTGTGTGTGTTCCTATACCTATGCATACACACTTCGATTTGAAAGTGCAGTTTGACCTTTCCATCGTCGAGATGTGCTTAGGTTCAAAGAAATTGCTTTGTACAGCATCGTCAAAAACTTCTGCCAGGATTCTGGAAGTTCTTCCTCCGTGACTGATTCCTGTTCCAGAAGAACACTGTGTCCTGGTGCTTTCACAAGCGTTGATGTAACAAGTGAAGTTTCACTTTGTGCATTGAAGCCCTTTGACAAAACCGAGAGATTGTCAAAGATATGTCGGGTAATTTTCATTGCAAAGGAATGGCATCGAGAAGTTTGGGGATACTAACCCTTGAGTTAGTACAGTAAAATCATGGGCTTGTTTATGCTTAAACATTGTGGGAGGTCAAAAAAGTTTGGCCATTTTCTTTATGTGTATAACTTCCCTCTGATAGAGGTGAGTGGACAGTGGAGAAAATGGAGGAAGGGACAGTATTGGTTTCGTCGAATAAGCTCTAGTTCAAAAGCCAGAAGACTTGAGCTTTGGTCCCAATTGTGGCCCTCACTTGGACAAATCACCTCATCGCTCTTGGCCTTGATTTTTTTCAGTTGCACAAGAAAATAGTTAGCTAGAAAATACAAGAGACGTCTTGTTCTTGTTAGATGCAGAGGATCCCACTCTGATCCACGGATGCCTCGTGTGTGCAGAGTTGAATGGTCCACAGGGTTTGCACGGCTGTGACTTTGCAGAAGGGTGTCACCAGGCTTTTCCTTTGAGTGGCCTCTGCAGGAATTTGAACCACCTAGTCTTGGAGCTAGTCGTTGTGTGCTTCCCCATTTGCTCCAACCAGAGACTCCTTGAAAGACTTCTTGTGTACCTTACACAAGAGGGAGTGAACTATGACAGATGTCCCAATGGACAGACATCCAATGGGAATAAAACAATAGTTGCGGGAAGCAGTGATGAGTAGGATAGTGTCAGTTTGCTTTAACTTTTCTACAGACAGGCGATCATTGAAGGATTCAATGGGCAAAGTATGGAGCAATGCATGAAGCATCAAAAAAAGATGAATACACAGAGTGACTCCATCAAAAAGAATTGGTTGACATTCAACCATTTCAAGTGGCAGCGTATGATTAAGAACCAATGGTATTGAAGGAAAAAGTCCAAGATGCCCTGACGGCATGAATGAAAGACGACATTCCAAGAATTAGTGGAATACCAATTAAAATGTTTCAACAAGCCAATGAATGGCTAGAAGCAGTCACTCATTATACAAAGACATTCAGAAGACAGGGACCTGGTCAACTGACTAGGAGAGATCCATATCTGTGCCGATTCCAAAGATAGGAGACCCCCATAGAATGCAGAATGTATCAGCCAATATCATTGATAACACATGCAAGTAAACCTTTGCTGCTAATTTGTTTTAAGATTGTAGCAGGACATAAACATGAAGCTGCCAGCAATTCAAGCTGGGTTCAGAAGAGGATGGGGAATGCAGGATATCGTTGTCGATGTTAGAGGGAGATCTGGAAGATGTTGATCTGTGTTTTATTGACTATGCGAAGGCCTTCAACTCTGTGGATTGTAACCATGGATCCATCCCAGTGGGCTGCACGCATAACTACAATGGGGAGGGTGGCACTGGACTGGGCAGCGTTTGGATCTGTCTTCTATAGGATTGCTAGGAGTTGGCACTTAACAACGACCACCCCAACAGCAAGCACATGGATACCACGAACAGGACTTTGTGTTTTCTATAATTCATGAACATGCTCCCAAGTGAATGGCCACGTGCACTCTGCTTCAGCCTGCTGCACTGGTTTTGAGTGCTTCCTGGTACTTCCTGGTAAACGTTGGGTCCTTAATCCAAGAACTGGCCTTCAAACCTACCGGCCACTCTGTTGGAGAAAGATGAGGCTGTCTGCTCAAAAAAAGACTTACAAAGCTTTGCAGCCACTGTCTGGGGCCTTAGCAATGGGAATAAGCTTGATGGCGGTGGGTTTGGTTTTGTCTGGGCCCTTTGACACCACAGGAAACCAAAGAGGTGAGAACACTGCTTTGAACTTGGCTCTTCCTTGAAAGGGCCCCTTCCTTCCACTGGGTCAAAAGCTGAGCCACATGGCAGGAGGCCACAGGCTAAGGCCAGAGGAATCCCCTCTTCCTTTGCCACAATTCTCTGTCCCAGCATGGATGCCTTTTAACAGTAGTCAGCAGTCTCCCCACATTTAATGCTCTGACCTCTGACAGTGTCTCGTGAATGAACGGGTTAAAAATTATTTCTTAATTAAAATTATCCCTACAAGTTCCATTTCTGCAAAACCAATCATTGTAATAAATTATCTAACAGGAAAAAAATTGAACTTTCTGGAACAGAGCACAAATTGCATTAATGATTGATAGGTACTGTGAGTGAAATAAAAAATTACTAGGCAAGGAGGAGAGTGTGTATCTTGTGCTATCAAATATTCAGTGAATGGATCGCTGCTACCATCTTGCCTTTCATGTCTCCCATGGTAATTGTCAGGAAGAGGTATGAAGAATTGTGGAACCTTAATAATATGCCCTGCCATTTTAATTGCTGAGTGAAGCAGGAGAATCTTAATTGCCAGGAGATGCATTACTAATTAAATGCATCGTTCTGTATTCCTTCTGAAGTAATTAGTTTGAATCCTTGTAAGGAGAGCTAAGATACAGATTTAGTTCCAGATTTAGGAGTGTACCCACAACAGAATTTGTTGCAGTGATCAATGGTTAAGGCAGGTTAACAATCACAACATTTTAAATGTTTCTTTAATTTGGCACGATTTGCTTTTTTCATTGGAATATTGGACTTGAAAGAGGAGTCTAGAGCCTTGTAAAAGTTAGCATAATTTTTGAATTGCTGTTTTAACACTAATAAGTCGAACTCCTAAGTTACTTGCTAGAGTAATGGTTTTTTTCTCCCATTATTTTGTTTCAGCATTTACCACAATTCCAAATTTCACACAGACTACAAGATAACTGATTGGTGTGATTAATAGTCTTAAAATTCTTGATTTTATCTTTGAAAAATTGTTGGTTAAACTAGATTAACAAAAAAAAAAAGACAGCTTAATAAATGTATTACCAGGAGAAGGAAACCCATTATCAAATGGGACTTGAAACATTTTAGACACCTTTCACTCCCTGTCATCAAACCAATTCCAATTCATAGCGACCCAATAGGACAGGGTAGAATTGCTCCTGTGGGTTTCCAATGCTGTAACTTGACAGGAGAAAGTGGCTGGTGGTTTTGAACTGCTGACTCTGCGGTTAGCAACCCAAAGCATAATCCACGATGCCACCAGAGTTCCTCTGACTTTAGATCTCTTCAACTAGGTGTAAAATCATCAGATGAAATTTCACCCCGATTAAGGATATGCCAGGAAAAAACCAAACTAAACTCACTGCCATCGACTTGATGCAGATGCATAATGACCCCACGGGACAGGTTAGAGTTGCCCCCTCTGAATTTCTTAGACTTCAACTCTTTATGGAAGTAGAAAGCCCTATCTTTCTCCTTCAAATTGTTATTGTATAAAATTAAAATCATATTTCATGCTTGGCTCAACAATTATAGGGTTTACATTTGAGAGTTAAACAACGAGAAGTGTTCTTGTTTTTAGCTTTTGGAATGTATACACACTTCCACTTGTTTCCGAGCCTCTTGATGGATTTCCACCACTGGTTATTAGTGTCTTTGGGATTTGAGGCACAGGAGATCCATGCCTGGATTACTCATTTCATGTGCACCACCCCAACCCTGCTTCATTTTACTTCTTTATCTTTTCATCCTTGATTTCATCTCTCATTCTGCTCCTGCTTTATCCACACACTGTATTTGATATGCATTCTTGAGTCTTAGTATCTTTAGAAAATATGCACCACTTTGTAGGTACAGTTGACCCTTGAACAACATCAGGGATAAGGGTGCTGACCCTCCCTCCCCCAATCAGTTGAAATTTACTTATAACTTGACTGGCTAAAAGCTTATTTCTAATAACCTACTCTTTACTGGAAGGAAGCATTGCTAAAAACATGAAAATAGTCAACACATATTTTAAGTGCTATATATATTGTCTACTGTATCCTAATAATTAAGTATGCTCAAGAAAAGAGGATACTATTAAGAAAATCAAACGGAAGAGACAATGTATTTACAGCACTGTACTTATTGGTACCACAAGTTTGCCTCCTCTGTTTACAAGATTATCACACCTTGAACAGGCCAAAGAAGAGGAGCAAGAGGAGAGTTGTCTTGCTGTCTCAGAGATGGCTCAGGTGGGAGAAGGGGGGGATATGGGAAGGGGAGCAAAGAGACAGTCTAACTTTAGGGAAGTCCATTGTCATTTCTCTTTGACTCTTTTGCTTTTCATTTCTCGAAAAATACTTCTATATAGTACCAATCCTTTAGCCACTGTTTGCCTTAGTTTCAGAACCAAGATTATAGAAGGGTTCAATATTGATTGAAAATAAAATCCAAGTGTGATACAGAGGAGATTAGCATGTCCTTTGACATGCTAGGATGAATCACACATTTGTGAAGCGTCTCATATTTTTTGAAATCCCTGGGGAATACCAAAAATAAACTTTGGGGCCAGGACATGGCACCCCATCAGACTTAACCAGAAAACACTCCTAAAGGTCAACAAACAGATCTGGAGCTATTTATAGGCTTTTCTTTCTTTTGTCATTGGTTTTTGTTGTTGTTGTTGTTGTTGTTTGGTTTTTTGGTGTTCTTTGTTGTTTGGTTTTGCCCTGCCTTGTTTTTTTGCTTATTATTGTCTCTGCATGTCTATCTAGATAAGTCAGATAAACAATCCAGAGGAGAAAACAACAGGACCTATGGTTCTGGAGGATGGGAGAGGGGAGGCAGGAAAAGGAGGTGGGTGTTAACAAACCAGGGACAAGGGAACAACAGTAATCTAAAATCCACGGTGAGGTGGGCTTAGGATGCCTGGTAGGGCTTAATCAAGGACAGTGTAACTGAGAGGAATTACTGAAACCTGAATGAAGGATGAACATCATAGTGGGACAAGAGGAAAGTAAAATGAAATAGAAGAGAGAACTAGAAGGCAAAGGGTATTTACAGAGGTCTAAATACAAGCATGTACATATGTAAATATATTTATATATGACAATAGGGAAATAGATCTATGTACACATATTTACATGATAAGTATCAAGGTATCAGACAAACATTGAACCTGTACTCAAGTACCCCCTCAACGCAAGAACCGTTTGTTCCAATAACCTGGCATTCTGTGATGCTCACCTTCCCGACACAATCTCTCAAGACAAAATAGGTGCATAGCAAGTGTGGTGACGAAAGCTGATGGTGCCCAGCTAATAAAAGATATAGCATACGGGGTCTTAAAGGCTTAAAGATAAACAAGCGGACATCTAGCTGAGAAACAACCAAGTTCACATGAAGGAAACACACCAGCCTGTGAAATCATGAGGTGTCGATGGAATCAGGTATCAGGCATCAAAGACCCAGGACAAAAAAAAATCATATCAATGTGAATGAGGGCAAGTGCGAATGGAGACCCAAAGCCCATCTGTAGACAATTGGATATCCCTTACAGAAAGGTCGCAAGGAAGAGACAAGCCAGTCAGGGTGCAATATAGCAACAATGAAACATACAACGTTCCTCTAGTTCAGTGGTTCTCAACCTTCCTAATGCTGGACCCTTTAATACAGTTCCTCATGTTGTGGTGACCCCTTATGTGGGTGAATATGCATGTGGGTGTACCCACCTGGAGACGGATAGAGGAGTGTTGTCTCCATTCCTAAAACCATCAGAAATATGGTCTTAGGTGACCCCTGTGAAAGGGTCTTTCAATACCCAAAGGGGTCATGACCCATAGGTTGAGAATCACCACTCTAGTTATTTAATGCTTCCTCCCCACCAATATCATGATCCCAGTTCTACCAGAGCATGTACACGAGTACAGGTAAGAGCTAGAAACACAGGAATCCAGGACAGATAACCCCTCAGGACCAATAATGAAAGTAGCGATACCAGGAGGGGAAGGAGAAGGTGAGGGGGAGGGGGGAGAACCAATCACAGTCTATATATAACCCCCTCCCTGGGGGATGGACAACAGAAAACTGGGTGAAGGGAAACATCAGTCAGTGTAAGACTTGAAAAAAATAACAATTTATAAATTATCAAGGGTTGGTTAGGGAGGGAGGGGGCGGGAGAGAGGGGAGAAAAATGAGCTGACCCCAAGGGCTCAAGTAGAAAGAAAATATTTTGAAAATGATGATGGCAACAAATGTACAAATGTGTTTGACACAATGGGTGCATGTGTGAATTGTGATAAGGGCTGTATGAGCCCCCCAATAAAATGATTTAAAAAAATAGAAAATCCCAGTATAAATGGACCCATGCAGTATAAACCAGGGTTGTTCAAAGGTCTATTGCATGTGTCCTTCTAACTTAGGTAAATTGTGTTTTAGATAGCCCGTTTCACAATGTTTTACATTAAATATTAAGTATTTAAAAGCTGTATAAGTTGTTACACAGACTTCTAAGTTATTGCTAATTGGTACTTCTTGGCATCTGTCCATCCAGTCCCCAAATGATGAACACCAAATTGTTTCAGTTGGGTCATCATAAACAGTGCTCTGGTGATCAGTGTTGTTTATGTCCAATCGTGGACCATGCGTTCTCCACCATATAAAACCAGGGATCAGGGAGCCACTATTGCACTGAGTTTTCCCTGGTTGCTTTCCAGATTAACTGTTCTATGTACAATCCTCTTCTCCTACCTATTCTTATTCAAAGTTCTTATCACGTACCTTTCAACAGCTGCTTTTTGGATGATAAGGAAGTAATGTTTCTTTTGTTTTATATAGTGGAATGCAATGAATGAAGACCCTCTCAATGTCTATAGCTAAGGAGCCGTGTGTCCTGGATTTTGTGCTGAGCTGCTACCCACTAAAGTAGACGTTCAAAATAACCAGCTGCTCTCCTGGAGAAACATGAGGGTTTCTGCTTACAGTCACATTCCCAGCCTCCAAGACCTGACGAGGCAGCTCTACTGTGTCCTGCAGCGTTGCTATAGTCTAGAGCACTAGAGCAGGGTCCTCAAACTATGGCCCATGGGCCACATGCGACCCGCCAACAACATTTATCCGGCCAGCCTGGTGGTTTTGCCCCCTTTGTTTTTTACTTCAAAATAAGATATGTGCAGTGTGCATAGGAATTTGTTCATAGTTTGTTTTTGTTTTTAACTATAGTCCGGTCCTCCAACGGTCTGAGGGACAGTGAACTGGCCCCCTGTTTCAAAAGTTTGAGGACCCCTGCACTAGAGGGCCAGAAGTTTTAGTGTTTTAAGAACTTTATCTTTCCTTTTTCCAACCCATTCTTCTTCATTTCATTTGTCTTTACATCATTCTCTTGCATTTTCATTATTCCTAAAACAGTTAGTTTTTGCTTTTGCTTGTTTATTTCACTGCTCTGTAAAAGACCAGCACTTAGCTGTGCTGCTTGCACCCACAGTTCATTGATTTCTGTTCAAATCGTTGTTTCCTTTCTTGTCTTTCTAGGTTTGTTGGGATGTGGTTTTCCAACTTCTGGGATGCAGCATTTAAATTCATTTCTTGTATTTCTTTGTTTTCTCAATAATGTTGACATTTTATTATGTAATTTCTGAGTGTGGCTTTGTTATGATTCTGGTTTCATTTTGTTTGCTTTGTTATTTATGTTTGGTTTCCCCTTCTAGAGGAATGGGCCAATGGAATGTGTTTGTTGTTTTGTTCTGGTTTGTTTATATCAGTCCTTGGTTTACTGTCTCAACTAGTTTCATCTTTAATTCCCTCTCATGTTGAAGGGAGAATAAGAATATTTCTTTGCACTCCCATTGGTACATTTCTTTTTTTTTTTTTACAATTGTCTCCATATTAAATTCTTTTATTTTTATTTTATTTATTGGGGGATTTTACTATCCATTTTTTAAATCATTTTATTGGGGGCCCGTACAACTTTCATCACAATCCATCCATTGTGTCAAGTACATTTGTACATTTGCTGTCATCATTTTCAAACCATTTTCTTTCTACTTGAGCCCTTGGTATCAGCTACTCATTTTCCCCCTCCCACCCCCACCCTCCCTCATGAAGCCATGATCATTTATGAATTATAGTCTTTCTATTCTTTGAGCTCGTGCCCTTGGTGGGTTGTGCTCTGAACTCTCAGAAGTGGGGCCTTTTGTTCTCCTCTTTGCTTTTCCCCATTTGCAGTTATGTTTCTGCAGCTACCTAGAACACACAGTTGCATGTGTATGTCGTGGGTAAATAATTCTATCCCTTCATGCTTCTTGAAAGCCTTCTCAGGTATTAACCTTCCCTCACAGCCATCTCTATTTCAACTTTTCATCACGCTTCCGCATGAACGTTTGCCCTACTTCACAAAGATTCATTTAAATATGGGAAAGTCTGTGTTTGCGAAGACCCGGTTACAAAGGGGGCCTGCCCATTCCAGGTGCTCCTCCTTGTCCATGAGGGAGGTCAAGTCCAAGGTATTCTCTAAGCTCTTGTTATCCTCTTTTACCCTCAAATATTGTTCAAAAATTCAGAATAAGATGTACAGTGACTTTAAAACATAAGTTCTAAGAGTCTCCAATAAACGTGTGAATCACTTCTACTAGTGCTGGACTCCATACCGTATCCCATCAACTTGCAACTCTGACCGTTAACATTTGAAACATATTCTCGGTGACATAGGGCTCTTGTCAAGGCCTTGCACATGCAGGTGTTCTCATCAGGGATGTTCATTGTCACTGTAGTAGGTGTGCTCTTTCTGTACAGTGATAGGAATGTACTGGAAAGATTCCTAAGAGTAGCCTGAATTTTTTTAATAGAGCATGTATTACATGCTGGTCGACTGTTACCTTTTTAGAGTATCCATCTGTTAAACTTTTAGCAAAGGGTTGCAACAGATGGCTTCTGATACTTGAACACCAAAATAAAGAAACCAATGTTCATGCAAGGCCTAAATCGTTTAAAAATATTTTCATATTTAATTCTCACCATACTATGTGATCGCTCCAGTCATATCAATTTATCGGTGGGATTACTAGGTCATCAAGAGGTTAAGGAGTTTGTCCAGTCCCAAAGCTAATAAATAGCCAGGGTCTGAACACAAATGTGTTTGGTTCAAGAGCTTGTTCTCTAAAGCCTCTTGGCAATACTGCAGTACAGGTTTACAAAACACGAATGCCACCTGAAGCCAGGCTAGCCCAAGAGATGGCTGATGTTAAGAAGGCATGCTTGTGGGGAAGAGAGTGCTCAGGGTGGTGGAACTCAAGACTCCATGCCCTGCAAAGAGAAATCCCATTTTTGTTTGTTTGTATTTCTGTGATAGACCTTCAGAGCCTATCTTCAGCCAGGCTCTGAAGCCATTTTGCAGCTATTGATTTAACTTCCTCTCTCACCCCCGAGGGTGATCACTTAAGAATGCTGTATTTCCAGACATGTTACACTTTCTTCATGTTGCACATCCTCCACCCATGATGACCATAGAGGACTGAGTAGAAACGCCCCTGTAGGT